AAAATTCTGGCGCTAATACTCTGGTTGCTGACGCTAATTCCTACATGCCTCAGCAGCTTTCTGTGCTGGATAAAATTTTCCAATTTCGCGCAGTGTTATTTCGGTCATAGTTGTGAAAGATATTTCTCAAATTTCCTACGTGTAAAATCCTATATTTTAACTCATTACGGATGGTCTTTCCAATGATATTTTTTTTATGCATATGACAATAATGTTAATCAGAATTACGCACATGAAATACTTAGAACGTTTCGAGTCTCATCCACTCATTCTAAATCATTGCCGAAACAAATTCAGGTTTTAAAATAGAAATCCTCCCCAGTGGAGTCGCCAAAAACTGTAGGGAATATTTCAAGCGTTAACCCCTAGTTTGATCCCCACTGTGATAATACACTAAAGTACGGTGGCGTCTAAAGGGAAAGAAGATAGAGAAAAAGAGTCACCAACAAGTTTTTTAGGAACTTGTAACCGTTCACGAGGTGAACGTTACACCCCTTAAAGATCCAAGAGATCGTCAACTCCATAAGGTCTTGAACTAAATAGGGTTCGGGGATGAAGGTACAAATCCAACCTAAAAGAGATTGAACCTGCCCTAATAATAGGCCTCTACTTTATTCTGATCGTATTCATGTGCGCTTTCTGACTAACATGCAATCAATAGGATTAAACCTAAACCTGTTTATCTATGTTGGTTGAATATTAATGCACAAATAAAACTATTATTGGCGATCACTTGAATTATAATCATATTAACCATAAAAAAGATTATTAATTATCTTATTAAGCGTGATTACAAGTACAAATTCCCTTTAAACATGCATAAAAGATGTGATCAAGCAATAAAAATAAATATCAAGCAACATAATAATAATAAATATAATCATAATAATAATAATCATAATAATAATTATAACAATAATAATATTCATGTTAAAGCGTAATAATAGCAAGATCCTAGGCATGATACTAACAAGATCAATGTCAAGCCCTAGCATGTCACTAAGCAATAAAAATCAAAGCTTTAACCCTAACATAATACTAACAATCATAAATATTAGGAAGAAAATAAAAGGCATCATAACAATCATACTTAGTATTAAATTTACCCTAGACATGATACTTGGAATCATAATAACAACCTAAGCATGAACTCTATATCATAATAACAATGCAAATAACTAAAGTACTTACTTTGATGCCTCGTACCTCTTTCTAATAACAAAATACACACGTTAGTAACTTAAGGGAAAATAATAATTCAAACAATTAAATTAAATAATTGAAATAGAGATTTGGGACCAAACCCTCAGAAATTAAAACCTTTCACGTCTAGGGCGAAGGCAACTTCGAACAATGCTAGGTGTGTCTAAGTCTTGCGAATGCGAAATTTTGTATTTGAGAGAAGGCTAGTTTAGAAAAGAGAGATAGAGAGAAAGAGTAATCAAGAAAACTTGATGAGAGTTGGTGAATGAAAACGGAGTCTTTACGACGTTATTTATAGAGAAAATTAGTCAACAAGATAAAACATCAAAACAGAGTTATGACGCAAAAAACCAAGTTAGCGCCAAACGCTGACCTTAGCGCCAGACGCTAAAGCTAGCGCCAGGCGCCAAGCGTAGCGTCAGGCGCTAAAGCTGGCGTTTGGCGCTAACTCAGAAATTCACGCGTTTTCTTAAAATTAGATAAAAATTGCCGTACAGAAGGATAAAATCGTATTTTCCTCAAAAATGTTCTTTGATTCTAATTAAAACTCTAAAAAGTCAACAAAAGTCAATTTATCAATGCGAATTGAATTAGGAATGAAAAGAACCTTCTAGAAGAATCTAGAAGACTGAAATCATTCCTAATTGCATTAGGAATGATAAATCCATATTAGGCCCTCCCCTAGATTATTAGGCCGCACATAAAGCTCAAACCGGGCCCAGTTTGGTATTTTGGCCATGACTTCCTCAATATTCATCGGAATTGGGCTTATAATATATCGTTGGAAAGCTATTTTCAAGCCCCATCCAACTACACTACTATTGGACCCGTAACATGGACCAACCAAACTGGATTGGCTGTTTTCTTAAAATAAGTTTTCAAAAACAGAGGGAAGAGAAAAGAAATTAAAACTATCCGCAACACTAAACTTTCCACACTTTCACTTCATTCGATTATGATTCGAAGTGAAAGGTACTCATCACTGGGTTTGGTTTTGGGGAGACACAAATGGGTGTCAACAATTAGCAATCCAATAAATCACTAATGTGTAAGAAAATATCTAGAAACTAAGAGATTTATTTAAAGAAACAGAAATTGAACAAGATCTATATAACCTAGGTTTTGAAACGAGATTGGGTAATTGCAACTTGTAACTATAAATTAAAATTACACAAAAAATTAACAAATAAAAGCAATTTATACCTATTAAGAGTTGAAAATGAACAAAGATTGATGTAAAAATGTAACATGTAAGGAAAGCAGAAAAAATGGTTGCCGCAAAACAACTTTCTACAAACCCTCAAATTTGATACAAAGACAATAATTTTGGCATGATAAATAAATTATTGTGATAGAATTATGAAACAAAAGAAGAAAGAATGAGATCTGATTTCAAATTCTAGGCCAAGACTCCATGAAGCTTTGTGAAGAATTCAGATCGAATGAAGGAAAATAGAATGGAGTAGTTTCCGTGATGTTCGAAAATGAGGAGTAGGTGGGTTTTGTGATGTTTGGTGCGTGGTTTTTGAGAATGCGGTACAGCTAATTAAATGCGCGTGAGGGCCACATGTTAGTGCTCTCGACGCTTTTTGTAGTCTAAAATTTCTTTTGACTGTAAAAAGCGTCGAGAAAACACGGATATCACAATTAGCTGTTGACTCTCTTGCTTTGGCGTCGAGGCCATACTGTCGAAAATACACTCCTTTTGTAGTAGTGAAGGTAATGCCTTTCGGAATAAAGAATTCAGGAGCGACATATCAAAGGCTAGTAAACAAGATGTTCACAGAGCAAATTGGAAGCACGATGGAAGAATAAATAGATGATATGGTGGTGAAGTCCAAGAAGCTAGCCGATCACGTCAAAGATCTCAAGGTAGCCTTCACCATTCTGAAACAGTACGACATGAAGCTAAATCCCACAAAGTGCACATTTGGAGTACAATCAGGAAAAATTTTGGGATACATGCTAACACAGCAAGGAATAGAAGCTAGCCTTGATCAAGTCAAAGCTATCCTGGTCTTAGAACGACCAAAGTTGAAGAAAGACATACAAAGACTCACAGGAAGAATAGCAGCACTTAACAGGTTCATCTCCAAGTCTTCTGACAAGAACAAAGTATTCTAGAACGTACTGAAGAAAAACAAAGAATTCAAATGGGAGCAAGAGCATGAGGAGGCATTCCAGAAGCTAAAAGAATACTTAGCCAATCCTTTAATACTCTCCAAACCAAAGGAGGGAGAGCCACTACAGCTATATCTTGAAGTGTCAGAAAGTACAATTAGTGTTGTCCTCGCCAGAGAAGATTAAAAGGAGTAGTTTCCTATTTACTACATAAGTAAAACCTTACTCAGCGTAGAAGCCAAGTATGCTTCTTTAGAGAAGATCATCTTAGCCTTAATCACTGCTTCAATTAAATTGTGCCCATACTTTGAAAGTCATTTTATATGTGTACACACAAGTTATTCCATAAAGCTATCATGAGAAAGCCAAAAATGTCAGAAGGATGGAAAAATGGGCACTACATCTCTGTAGATACGACATTCAGTATGAGCCTAAAACCAAAATAAAGTCACAAGCCTTGGCAGATTTCGTAGCCGATTTTAGTCTGACTTTTGTACATGAAGCACAAAAAGAAGTTTTAGCCCTGCAAGAACTTAAAGCCACACAAAAATGGATACTCCACACAGACGGAGCAGCAAACATATGAGGTGTAGGCTTGGGGATAGTACTCATATCCCCCCAAGGAGACTTAATCACACAGGCAGTAAGGTGTAACTTCAAAGCAACCAACAATGAAGCTGGGTACGAAGCATTAATTATAGGATTGACCATCGCCAAGGACATGAAAATAAAAAACCTAGAAGTGACCTTCGATTCCTTACTCATTGTGAACCAAATCAATGGGGAGTATGTAGTGAAGGATACAAAGATGGTGGCATACCTAGAGGTAACCAAGAAACACATCAAAGAATTCAAGGAATTCAAGATCGCACAAGCACCTAGGAATTTGAACACCGAAGCATACGCTCTAGCAAACCTTGGATCGAACATCAACCTTGATGAGTTCGGAGCTATACCACTAGTACCACGTCTTATCACCAGCTACTGAGAAAGAATCAACCATGAACGTTTATGAAATACAAGCAGATCCTGTTGAAGAGGAACTCAGCTGGACAAGACCTCTAAAAGGCTTCCATACAATCAAGGTAATACCAACAAGGAAGATCGCAACTCACGCACTTACCCTGAAAGCATTCAAGTATTGTTTGATCAGCAACATACTCTTCAAGAAATAAACAGCAGGGCCATTCATGCGATGCTTAGAGAAGCAAGAAGCACAACAAGTCTTACAATCACTACTCAGCGGAGAGTGTGGAAATCATTCAAGAGGAAGGAACTTAGATAACAGAGCCCTTAGAATGGGATACTACTGGCCCAATATGAGAAAGGATGTTGCAGAGTTCTCAAAGAAGTGCCTAAAATGCCATAAACATGCGCCCTTGACTCATCAACCATTAGAAGAATTACATCCAACACTAACACCGACCATTTATAATGTGGGGAATGGATATAGTAAAGCTTCCCCCCTCATCAAGGAAAAGGGTTTACTTCTTGGCAATGACAGACTACTTCTCCAAATGGATAGAAGCTGAAGCATAAAAAGACATCAAGGACAAGCACGTCATCTCATTATTCATCAAAAAGAACATCCTAAGAAGATTTGGCGTACTATTAGAAATCATCACGGACAATGGGTCCTAGTTCATAAGTAACAAAACCAGGACATTCTGCAAGGAATGGAACATCTCCCTTATCACATCCACATCAAGGTACCCATAAGAGAATGGACAAGTAGAGTCAAGCAACAAGGTCCTCATCAACAATATGAAGAAACACTAGAGGGTAATAAAGGAAAATGGGTAGATGGACTACCCAACATACTATGGGCGGATAGAAAAACTCCAAAAGGCGCAACAGGTCACACTCCGTTCTCACTAGTGTACGAGTGTGAAGTAGTAATCTCCACAGAAGTAGAAGTCCTTACTACAATATACAGACTAATGACTAAAGACAAGAACCAAGCTGAGTTGGAACACAACCTGGATACAGTAGAAGAAATCAGAGAAGATGCAAAAATGAGAATGGCAGCCTACCAACAAGAAGTAGCAAGGAGCTTCAACAAGAACTTAAGAGCAAAAGTCTTCAAGATAGAAGACTGGGTACTCAGAAAAGTGTACGAGAATAGAAGAGAAGTGAACGTTGGAAAATTAGTACCCAACTAGGAAGGGCCTTACGAGATCATAAAGGTGCTAGGAAACGGAGCATACAGCCTAAGGAATGCAGAAGGGAAAGAGGTGCAACGAAGCTGGAATGCAGCACACCTAAAGCTTTATCATTTCTAAGGTATATGAAAGTGCAAGCAGCAGGGAGTAGAGAAAGTTACGTAATCATTACTTTAACACACTTTTATTCAAACATTAGTCAAAAAGGAAAACTTCCCTACAAGAAGTTAGACACAACAAAGGTAATCCTTCCTATCATAATACTTAGTAAATTTAGTTTATTTACACTACGAGTACTGACTTAAGCATCGGAAGGCCGTTGGGGAAACCCACGGCCACCCATAACCCTGCTTTGTTTTGCAAGGACAGTAAGCGAGTACAAAGAACAACAAAGCACAAACATGTAAGTAGCACTACATTCCAATTGCACGCAATACAATTGTAATACAACTATAATACAACTGGGATACACAGGGAAAAAAAAGATAAACAACATAGCATAACAATACACCAAATTACTTAGTTGCATAAAGCAACAAAACAGACAAAGCATCCAGCTGCAACCAGGTAGAAAAAAGTCAAACAAAAAATATCCTAGCGCACTTAGGCAGCAACAACAAGCATACTAAAAAACATAAAAAAAAGATATTATTCTAAAAATACTAGGTGACACAGCACCACAAATATAATTTTCTCCAGTCATGTCATCAGGGATCTTCTCTTCTTCAAGAGCATTCTTCATGTCCTCGTTCATAGGAGAATTGACCTCCTCATCAGCATAGCTCAGCAAATGTGAACCATGAACAGTAACTCCTTCAGGAAAAGTTGACCCAAAAGCAGCCTTCTCAACAGCATAATCCCACACTTTATGCTTTCCCTGCTGGTACTTCTCCATCATCTCCTGACGAGCCTTCCCAAAGTAGTATCTTGCCATGTCGAGGGATTCATTCGTAGCAATCTTCAGAGTGCCTTTCACCTAATCAAGCTCAACACGACATTCCTTGTGGTTAGTCCTTTCACCCTTCAAAGCTTTAGAGGTAGCCTTGTATTTATCAATGAGAGCATCACACTTCTTCTTTATGACATCAAAGGCCCTGGTAAACTCGGACACCTTGTTCAAAACTCGGCCCTGGTAAACTCGGACACATCAACACACGTCATCCTTCATCATTGTTTTATTGAATTTTTTTGGGAGTATACTATACCTAGAAAGATTGCACAACAGCTTCCTGAGAAAGGTTAGCAAAATTCTGCGTGGATTGGCGCTCCTTGAAGGAGCAAAACAACAGATTATCTGCGTAGGGAGCCAAAGTCTCATAAGAGAAGGTCTTAGCATCAAGATCAGCAGACATCTCTAACTTCCTCTTGAGACCAGAAGAGCGAGGTGGAGGAGGTAAGGGAGCTTTCTTTAGTACAGTCACTCTCTCAGAAACATCTTCACCAACCTTAGAGGCCTTGTACCTAATGCAATCCAAGATAGACAAGGAACTGATGGGTGTCATAAATGGCACCCATTTGATGAGCATTTAGGTTGTTTTCTTCCTCTTTTCATGGCTTTCATGCTTAATAAATGCTTAGTTTTATGCATTTGGTCTTAGTCTTATCTTTCCTCTTTTATTTTGTAGCTTTTGTGCATTTTTTCTATGGTTTTTCTAGTCTTTTCTCCTATATTTGCTCTATTTTTGTGGTTATAGGTATTGTACGAGGTTTGGGTCTTGATATTGGTGATTTACTAAAGTGGAGGAAGCTTTTGGAGCAAGCTCATGGCAATTGGAAATCTCAAGATGCAAGGAAGTGGATTCTCAAAGTTCTAGCTCTTGCGCTATCAAGTCGTGCTCTCATGAATATGGGGTGTTGAACCCACAATCATGTGCTTTTGGGACTGCCTTACTTAGTGTTCATCATCATCATGATTGTGCGCTCATTCGAAGACTTAGCGAACGCATGAAGCCGCGAGAAGATCGAAGAAACCCAGAGATGCGCGGGCGCGCAAAGCACGAGCGCGGGCGCCACCCGTTGGGGCGGGCGCGCCTCCCCTGAAGCAGGTTTAGAATAAGTTTCATTTTAGATTTTGATCATAATTTTAGCTTAGTTGAGAGCTTCTCTCTCTAGTTTTAGGGTTAGTTTAGGAGTAGATTTTAGAGAGAGAAAGTGGGGAATTTTAATGGTGATTGAGAGATTGAAGATTCAATGGTGACAATTGTGTTGGAGATCTTCTCTATTATCAATAAGAATTCTTAACTCTAACTCATTTTATTACTTTGTTTGATTTCATGTTTGTTGGTTTGATTTTGATGTTTGATTGTTGATTAGTGTAGTTGTTCTTCATATATTGTTGATTCTTGATTTCTTTAGTTGTTAGTTGATTAGATAATTATGTTAGAGTAGCTGTTTGCTAGGAATTGGGTGAAACTTGTATGATTGATTGATTTATTGTGCTTAATTTGGGGATTGTGTTGATTAATTGTTGAGATTAAAGTGAAGTTTGCATGTGTGTAATTCGATTAGGCCTTGATAATTACGCTAGATTGCATTATGAGTCTACATTGATACGAACCATTGATTTGTAGCTTGCAATTGTCGATTGAGCTTGATTAGTGATGCTCCTAGTTAGAGTCTCTCGTAGTTGGTGCTAGTTTGACCTCTAGGAGATAGCTTGTTGACTCTTTTGATTGAGCTTGCCATTAGTCTTCACAACCATTGACTTGCGTGTATTTTCGAGTTGCTACAATTGTTGTGATTACTTGTTGAACCCCGTTCCTAGTGCTTTATTTGTTTGATTTCTTTGTTTGTTAGTTGTTAGTGTTCTCCATTTATCTTTGTCTTCGACCTAGCTTAGGCGCATAATTGAGTGCGCTTGAACATTACTGTTCCTTTTGGTTTGACCCTTAACTTGCCTCTATAATAGTATATAGGTTTGTTAAGTGTTTATAAATTTAGTTTGACCAAGGGAGGATTAGTTTCAACGACCTAGTTCCACCCCTCGTCAAATTGGCGCCATTGCCGGGGAACGATGTCTATTTTTGAGTGTTTTTGATTGCTTGAGTCTAGGTATATGTATATACTTTTCTTTGATTTGATTTTTTGCTTTGTATAAAAATGGCATGTCTATCTTTTCCTCAATATAACAATGAGTTTTTTGTGAATATTTCAATAGGCTTAAGGGATTTCTTGACTATAATCGTCGTAGTCTTTGGGAGGCTTATGAGATTTGTTATTTTGGTTTAAATGAACAAACTAGGAATAAAGTTGAATGCATGCATAATAGTAGATTTAGAGCATTGTGAATTGATGATGCTTGGGATTTTTATGTTTGGTTAGCTAGGAATGTTTATAATAGGGGTATTCATGATTCCAATATTGATGTGCAATGTCTTGATTCTTCTTATATTAGCATGATTTCCCATGATATGTCACATGATCCCATAGTTGAACCTAGAACAATTGCTTCCAATTCTATTTCCAATTATTTTCATGATAATGAGGTGCATGCTCAAGTTAATAAATCTCATATGATTGATTGTGCCCCCACTCCCCTATTTAATGAAAATTCTCATGTTTGTAATGATTGTGATCCTACCTTTGGCTGTGGCTCTTCTTCTAATCTTGATCCTCAAACCTCTTCACCTTTTCATTCTCCAAACTCTTGTGAAGAGTCTTTGGTCCCCTATAGCCAAATTGATGAATCTTTGAGGAAGTTAGAGATGAATCCTAATCTTAGGCCCGTGGAGAGACAAATGATAGAAATTTTAAGGAGCCAAATGGAGAAGATTAGAGAGCGTGAGGGTGTTTTGAATGAAGATTTGAAAAGAAGAGAAGAGTTGGAAAGTCAATTGTCATCTTTGATGCTTGTGTGTGAAAATTTCAAATCCAATGTGTGTGTTGAGGATGATAATGATATTTAAGAGCAACTAAGAGAGTGTGAGGATACCTTTGATGAGCATATGAGTGATGGTGAAAGAGTTGAGAATGAAGAGAAATTGAATTTGAAAATCCTAACCCTCTTTCCCATCTTGATGAGCCTCAAGTGTATGTTTGTGAGTCTTTAATCTATGAACACATAGACTCTTTTGAGGTAATGTCCCATTTGTTTTGTGAGAGTCATATGAAAATTTATAGATTTTTGGATGAGTTCATCAAGAAAGCTTATTGGGATTTAGATGAGTTTACAATGACTCTACCTCCTCTCATGCACGGTTTTGAGGACTTAGGTTTTGAGATAGTTGATGGAAAGGTGGTTTTTTTGTGGTGCAAAGAAGGATGAGGGTGATTCCATTAGAGTTTTTAAGCTTGAGGGAGATGTAGATTGTAAGAGATCTTCATTTGAGGACTCTATGAATGATTTTCATGCCCTCATTGGTGATGTGATACCTTGTGTTGAGGGAGTAGCTACCCCTTTTCTCATTTCTCATACCCATTTTTCTCAAAGGTTTGACCACATCCCTTCTTGCCCTATTTTTCTCCCTTCCTATCTCAAAGAGCCTATTGGGGACCCCCTTTTCTATGATGATCATAATGTCCCTCATTCGTCTATTGTTGAGGAAAAGGGTGATGTTGCCACCCAAAAATATTTTAGTGAGGAGGATTTGCCTTTTTCTTTTTCTTTCCATTCTTTTATTCCCCCTTCTTCTTATTTTCTTGTTTTTCCTTTTGATCCTTCTTCTTTCTTTTGGAACCTCCCTCCTCACTTGCGTGCAACAATCTTGTTGCACGTTCTCTTCCTGTCATTTGCCTACCATCTATCATATGAAATGTGTAATAGTAATATCTTGCGTGCATTGAATTATTATTTTACTAGAGCGGTCAAGCTTGGACCTTAAGCAAGCCTTTCTCGGGGAGTAACCCGTGCTTTAGATTAGATTTTCATTTGCTTTTTAGAATAGATTTTCTCTCATGGAAATGTTTGTGTGCCTTTTGCTAGGTACATGACTTGATATACTTTGGTGCTTCGATTTGGATCAAGAATCAAGGAAGGTTGACTCCTATTTTTGCTAGCATAT